AGGCTGTCGTGCATATTGCACACTTGACTTTAATTCTGGTGTTTTCTAACTTCCAAGAGCTTGACTTGGCAGCATCAGCACTAGAAAAAATGTAATCTTTTTGCACAGATTTTTCCTAGGCTGTTTATGGAATGCTGACTCTGGGTTAGACTCCCTTAACAGCACAGATTTTTACTGAGCTGAAATTATAGCAGTAGGCAGTGATTGTGTTCAGCTAATAAGCTTCACATCCCCTTGATAACTGAGAAATGTTGATGCTGGACTCCTGTGCCTTGTCACAGGTGCTAAAGGGAGTTTTTACTTCAGTCATTTCTGGCTTTTTCTGCCTGTCCTTATCTCAGTCTTTGCTAGTTGGGCTGTTCTTCCATGCCTCCTGAGTGCCAATAGAGAAGCACTTTCTTGGGTCTTGGTTCTTGCCCCAGGTGCCACAGATTGCTTTAAAAAAAAAAAAAAAAAGTCTCTCAGGAAAGGTCCTCTACAGCCTGTGGGTGGTATCAGCTTGCCCATAAAGTCAGTCTTTAGAGATTTTTAGCTGTCAAATCAAGTAGTAACATACATCAAAGAGTCATAACTTCACCTGATTTTATAATTGCTTAAACATTGTTTCATGGGACCTGTTTGCACTGAAAGTCTTAAAATGGAAAGTATTGTGCAGCATAATTATTATAGATAGCTCTGGCAGCAGTGCCTGTACAGTAAATGGAACATGGTGCCATTTTAAAGGGCAATTGAACATGAAGATACTCATTTTGGTATTAAAAGAGCCTGCAGAAGTAAAATCAAAGGCAAAATATTTTTATATACTTCAGAGAATGGAGTGTCAAAATCTGTAGGGCCCTGCATCAGCTTATTCTACCTGATTTTATTGCAAGCAAGTTTGTCCTGAAAGTGACTCTCAAAATATCTTAATAGTAACCTTGTAGAAACTTAAAGGTGTTAACCTAATGATTTCAGTTTATTTTTTAAAAAGTGTTGAATGCTAATTTCTTTCTAGATGGTCTTCATAAGATGGCTATTCAGAGCTGGCTTAAAAATCTCCATTCTACAGTGTCTGGCTTTAAAATGCCTGTTTATGTAGTTGTTACATGGCTAAACCAGGGGTTGGCAATGTTTTTGGCCAGTGCCAAAAGCATCCCAACCTTGGTTGGTGTGCCAGAAGCGGATGGTGGTGGAACTGGGAAGGGCCTGATCCTTGTTATGGCAGTGCAGCTGCAGTCCCTACCCCACTGTCTGCCCGAAGGCACGTGTGTACCCACTGCCATCAACGAGCTGGACAGCAATGGAGCAGCTTGCCGCCTCCCCACCGCCTGCTGCCAGTAGCTTGGGCTCCATGGTAGTCAGTAGGGGCCTTCCTGGAGCCAGGGCTGGCTGTGGCAGGCAGTCAGGATGTGCAAGCTGCTGCATCAAGGTCTCTGGAGCCCCGGCTTGGCTTGTTGCTGGTGGTAGGTGCACATGTGCCTTGGGGTGGACATCTGACTTGCTGTGAGGGGCTCGATCCTTGTTGTGACAGCACAACTGTGGCTTCTTCCCTTGCTGTCCACCCCAACGTGCACATGTACCCACTACCAGCAGCAAGCCAGGCCAGGAGTCCATAGACATTGGCCTCCTGGCCACCTGCCACAGCCAGCCTAGGCTCTGGGCAGGCCTTGGCTGTCTGCCATGGAGCCTGGGTTGCTCAGCCAGTGTTGGAGAGGCTACAAGCTGCTGTACTGAAATCTGGAGAGCCCTGGACCAGCTTGTTGCTGGCAGTGGGTGTACATGCACCTCTGGCACGGATGGAGTGGAGGCTGTGAGGGGCCCTAGCCTTGTTCTGGCAGCACGACCTCGGTCGCTTCCCCACTGTGCCCCAGAGCATGCATGCTAAGCAAAATGTTGTCATGTGCTGTGGGTTGCTGACCCCTGGGCTAAACATTTAAAAAAAAAAAAAAAAAAAAAAAAAAAAATTAAAGTTCATCTTCAAATAAGGAAGAATAGATAGATTTAGACCAGAGTGCTCTTCTTAATGTCAGTTGAGTAAATTAACTGTGAACTTGCTCCATTCTAAACAGTGTCGTTTCTGTGTGTCTGAGTAAACCTTGCCACAGGTATAGAGCAGTCTGCATAGTGCTATAGGAGGATCTTTCTGCCACAAGCCAAGTAGTAGTTCAGTACTGATTGGAATATTCAGTAATTCTTGCACTGATCCCAGATAACTTTAGCTGAGGTTTGTTTTTTTTTTTAATAGGTCATCAAATCTTGATTTAGACATCATCCAGTGATGGAAAATAAATAAATGGAATATTTCAGTTTGCCTCGCTGTTATAATTCATGTTCTGTCTGAAATTTGAGTCTATTTCCAACCAGATTAAAAACTTCAGTTTAGATGAGAACAACAAGAATGATTCAAGGTCAGGAAAAAAGGGCCTCAGTAAGACTTGACAAGTATAACAATTTATGGAAGAAAAAGTTATGAAGTGATCAATTGGCATTTTAGAAAGTATACAGAGGAAGATGTGTTAAAGGCTCTTTAGGGAATACATAAAATTCAGGTGGTCGGTCTTGTTAGGGACAACATAACCGACCAGAAATGGTTTCAACGATTGTGCTATTGCCTTTAACTCTCATAAGACGTATTTGTTTTTTACGAAGTATGATGTAGGCACCTGCCATCAGCCTATCCTATTTTGAGGTGTGTTCAACTGCTTGTCCACTGCACCTAGTGTATTATTGAGTCCCTACTTTCAACAATATAGACCATATTCCAGTATATTGAATTTAAAAAGACACTGAAAGCAGAAGCAAATACATGAACAGCAGGTTAAAACTTTGTGTATTAGCAATTCTCAGTGTAAATAAAGCATTTATTCATTCCAGTTAACTCAGCATGTCAGTATAGCCAGAATGCTTTGTTTTTAGGGCATTTCATTTAATTAAAATGCTTAAAATGCTTTAAAGGAAATGCAGCTAATCTGGTAGGATACCTTGTTAGTGATGAGGGGATGGCAGTCATTCAACTTGATTAGCAAGTACTTTTATCTTCTAAATGGCTAGGCTTCTCCTGAAGTCCACTCCTAAAGTAGAAATGTCCACTATGGTCTTCTAGACTCAACTATAAATAGGCTCAAATCCGAACATCATACTCATACACATGCTATGAAAAGGTCCATTTTAGTTAGATACCCAAGAAGCTAAGGCTCCCTTTTTTGTTTTTCATTGAAGTCTCTAGGCTTTGTCTGAATATCTCCTGAAGGTAACAAAAGGCATGGGTCACTGGGGCCAAGTCAAACTTGGTAAGATGAGGCACAGCCCTTTGACTTAGGCTGAAAACCACTGCTCTAAGCCTGTGGTCTGCGGACCCCTGGAGGTCTGCAGACTGTCTGAGGGGTCCACAAAAGATGACTATGATGAATTAAAAGTAGGTGAATACCTACACTTACACTTCAACAGGGTCTGCACTCCCATTTGAAATTTTTTAGGGGTCTGCAAAAGAAAGTTTGAAAAATAGTGCTTTAGAGAGCAGGCCAAATTTGGCATGATACTTAGTTGGGCAATTAAAAGCAAGGAAGGAATTCTCTGTTCTCAGTGTAGAGGAGTTTGCACTGAGCATCAGAAAGAAAGGATTGGAGCTATTTTTTTTTATTAAGTCCTGCTGTGTAAGAAACAAGATGGTAATGTGTAGTGGCATCAAATTATACAAATATGGTAGAAGGAAAACTATGGATGGCAGGTCCTCCGTTAGTCTTAATGAATACTTTTATTTTTTTGTTTTTGCTGCTATAATATCTTTTGCTCAAAATTGGAAAAGTTGATACTGCTTTGTTTTGCAAGATCCCTCTGCAGGGTAGCATAGTTTAATTATGTATCCTCAGATTTTAAACTTCTAATAACTTCCTTTGCTCATCACATGTAGTACAACTGCTCTAGATTATTTAATCCTGTTCCTCTGTTAGAGCAGGCTGTGCCTACTTAAATGTTCAAAAGTTGCTTTGATGGATACCAGTAAAAACCTGGAATCGTGAGCAGAGTGGGGAATATCTAATTTCACCATATATTTTATTGTAAACTGGTGTTTTGAATATTCATAGTCTACAGAAACCAAGCTGTACAATTCTCTCAAAAGTCTTATTTGAAGATTCTTGGTGGACAGATTGAGAACAGAAGAAACAGCTGTAAGACATCTCTGAGGAGATTGCAGTTAGTCTGTTCAATTGATATTGAGTGCAAAGTACCACTGTATCAGCCAAATACAAGCTTTGTTATTCAGCTGCCTGTGGCTTGATATGGCATTTGGAAGTGGTGCAGGGTTTTGTTAGTTTGTTTTTATTTAATTTAGAAAAATAGGGAAAATGGAAGAACAGAAAAGGACCATTCTATTGTCTCAAGTGAAAGTTATAACCATGCAAGTGAGCTTCTTGCTCTGTTCTATGAAATCATGAGTTTTTTTGAAAGTAGGTTGACATCAGCTCAGTTTCTACAGAGCTTTTGTATTTGTGCGTCTGCAGAATACTGCTCTTGGGGCTGGAGAAGACTAGGCACCTAACCTCAGACTGTCTGAACAGAATGCCTCAGCAGTTAGCTTTTCAGTTGGTGTTTTTGCAGGGTTAACAGTAGTTGCTTAGTAAGAAGCCAGAATTAACTGCTGCTCTCTGGAAATCGATGGCAGGAAGCACAAAATGGAGCTGATCCAATTTTAAGATCTGAACAAATTTAGTTTAATGGCAATATGATGCAATATGATCCTTATACAACATGCACTGAAGTTAAATTACCCTCAAATCTACCAGTCTAGCTGTAAGCAGGAGCTTGCTTCTAAATACTAAGCACTCTGTAAAACTGTCTGTTTAGATAGTTATATGAAATTGATTTGTGCCTCAACAATCTTGTTTTGTTAGTAGGAGAACGCCAGGTAAAAATGTATTCTTGAATTTCAATTGGTTGCTTCTATATTAATTCTTTAACAGCTTGAAGTTGAATATTAATGAGTGTAAGGCTCATGTTAATTGTAGACCTCTGCTTTTCAGGTGGTATGGTCAAGAAAAGGATTACAACGTTCTAGTTATGGATCTTCTCGGACCCAGCCTGGAAGACCTCTTCAACTTCTGTTCTCGCAGGTTCACGATGAAAACAGTACTTATGCTAGCAGACCAGGTATGTATAACAAAGTTTGATTGGAAGGGAGATAAGATATTTGGTATACTGCATCATGGTTCCTCTTAAATAAGTTAGGCACTCTGCGGCTCACTATCACATGTTTGGGTGAATATCAGGCGTGTAGAATTTTTGAAGAAAGAGGGCAGTGGTGATAGTGGTAGATTTCTTGGTAGGATGGGTCTTAAACCCTTCAGTAAAAATGCTGAATGAATATTAATATTCTCATCAGGCTGGTGATGCTTGCATTTTAACTAACAGTTATTGCTGGTAATGGGTGGGGAAAGCAATCTTCAATTTTAGTTTAATCTTATTAAATGAAGCACTGATAGGCTTCTGCTGAGCATGTGGTCGGCATCCCGTCTGCCCTGCCACTGGACATTGCTATACCTACTTTCGGCTTGTCTAGTAGTAAAGCCCCAATTGAGAGGTTTTGTGTTTACTGTTATCCTGTATGGACAAATATTGGGCTGCTACCCTTTTTGCTTATTACCCAGTTCAAACTTCTGGGTTTGAGCCTAGATACTGTAGTGATAAGGGTACTAGGAGTGCCAGATCCTTTGTCTCAATTTGGGCATTAAATACTTCCATCAACATGGTACCTAAATACCTTATATGTAAAGAAGATAATTAAAGATCACTGACTTCTAATTAACTTATATAAGACCCTCGTGCAGTGGTATGTTTTCCAGCAAATGACCTGATTGTTCTGCTTTCAGTTCCTTGAAAAGAGTTAAGGGACTCTTCAGAAAAGTTGTTAGACTTGCACTGAAAATTAATCCAAGATTATCTCATTGATAGCAGAAGCAACCTGTCACTTTGCCAAATGGCCATAGAATCCCAGGCTTTTGGCCAAAAAAGTTTACAGCACATATGTTTGGAGATAAGTATCAGCTGCCCCTGTTCTTAGCTGCTTTTAGTCACTAAAAAGTACTGGCTTTAGATGGCAATCCACTTGCCTGCTTGCTCAGCTAGATTTGAAGTATTGTGGTAACAGCATCTTTAAATGCTGTGAAAAGAAGCTTAATTATGAGGAAACCAAAGCATATGGTATGTAGGGAGCATAAGAATGTCTTTAAATTTCTTGCACTGAAGTTGAAAGATAGCCATTGCAGCATAATCCATTAAACTGTAGCTCTGACGGAGCATCAATACCAAGCTGTTTACTTCAGTAACACTACATAATGTATATCTACACAGCTAAGGGGGGAGGGGAGTGGTCTTCTGTAGCACATATGGGCACAGCATTGTTAGCTTTGACCTAGCTAGCATGGAGAGGTATAGGAGTAAAGAGGCTGTGGCACAGGCTAGCATGTGCTAAAATCTGCACTTTGTCTTCACTCTTGGTATCTGGTTTAGTTGGATTAAACTAACGCACACATTCTAGCATGTGCTACAACCACACCTTCATTTTGCTACGTAGCCTTAGCCATGATGGTATTGACCAGCAGATGGTGAAACTGGGTGGGAGAAAGCACATGTCAAATAAGACATCTGAAACTGTCCTGCTGCAAGCACTTGTGCTGTAATACTCAAAGTAACTTCCATGTAAAAGCGCTATTTTTTACTTGTGAGTGGAGTTGGAATGGAACACTTAGAAGCTTTTAAACTTTTTTTCAGTGGGGCCTGGTAATGCTGGTTAGATGATGCAGGATGATTAATTTGTCTTCATCAGAAACAATATAGATCTGCCAAAGGAAGCTCTTTTGTGAACATTTGTGTACGGCAGGTTTTATCCCATATTTAAAAAACAAAACCAAAAAACTCCCCAAAAACAAAACTGTTACTAAAAAAACATACTTCTCCAATATCAAAGTAATCTGCAGCTTTCTCTCTTCTAGTGTTAAATGCTGATATATTTTTTTCTGTTCTTTTACAGATGATCAGTAGAATTGAATATGTGCACACAAAGAATTTTATACACAGAGACATTAAACCAGATAACTTCCTAATGGGTATCGGGCGTCACTGTAATAAGGTTAGTGCAATATTTTGCTTGAACGAACAGAGGATAATGCCTCAGAATGGCTTTTCTAAATGCTTAGATTTTGAACAAGCTGTGCAGCTTGAGTAACTGTCTCATTGCTAAATCTGATGTGCCAAAGAGTTTAAAACAATCCATTTTTCAATGTCAGGAGCTTGGCTATCCTTGTGCATATTGCTAAAGGCAGTGATATGAACATGTGGGCCTTTGACCTACCAGAGATTAGGAATTAAATGCAGGATTATGTTTAAACACAGAAATCCAGATACTGCATAAACTATCCAGTGATTCAGTACCCAAGCACTTTGTTCAATTGTGATTTTTTTTCCCATTAATCAAAGTTAAGGGATAATGGTAACTTTGCTTTTTGTAATGTTAATCTAAGCTTAACTCTTTGGCTCTGAGCTGATTTCTTGAATTTGAAATGCATTTGTCTGCATGGGAGTGCCTGATATACCTGACACTAAGGAAATAAAATTATCAGTGACTTGTACTGACAGTCTTTCAGTCACCAAGATTGTGGATATGAAAATCATATTCAGCCTGTTAGAAGGAAGCATTGTCTGAAATGTTTATATTTGTATTTGAACGTCTGCAAATATGTGAAGGTGAGAAGAAGCACTAAGTTTTTAGATGAGTTGAATGGTTAGAGATTTTAACTAAAAACCTGATTGGTCTTAATAGCGAAGATAAACGGGGCTCCAGGTATTGATGGTAATTCTTTTGGCTGCGTGTGTTACATAGCTAGAAGTGCATGTTATCAGTTGAAAATTGTGTAGAAAACACTGTATTCACTGATTTTAGTTCTGTTGAGTGAAATATGCTTAATCTGCAATGTATGTGTTGAGCTCGGGCAGACAGGCAGCATTGGCAATGCATTAAGCATGCTATTTAACAGAAATTTAACTTCAGGACAAATACATGCGATTAAACTTTATTGGAAGCAAGATTCCCACTTGTTCTTTTATGCCACCTGACAATGTTTACTATCTTTGGGCACTGTTAGCTATAAATGTTTACCTTTGTTTGCCTGTATGAATGCCAACTTGGGGGCCATTAACACTAGAAACAATTGGTTATTAACATGAGAAACTGAAGGGGTGCAGTGCATATTGAACTTCTACCAGTAACTTGTTGGGAGCTTGTAATATCAAAATTGAAGGGCAAAGTCTTTTTTTCCTTTTGTGCAATCCTGTTGCTATCAAACCTTGCTTTATTCCCAAGTTTCATACTTCATTCTATAGAACTCTATTTTTCTCTGCTATAAAGCAGTAGGTTCTTTTAATTTTCTAGGGAGGCTTGGCAGTTTCATCTAGGAAAAAATATTTTTACTATGCCAGGTTATTTCCAACTTCCTCCTTTTTTGGCCATTTTCCTGTACTTCTGCACAGTCATGCTGGGTTGGCATTGCTGGACCTTGTTTTATTTTGATAGGAATAATGGCCTAGAAAGTACTGCTGTGCTTATTAGTGAGCATATTAGATTCATGTAAGCTGAAATGGAAACCAGCGTTGCCTGTAGAACATGAAGCTTCACTTCTGGCACTTGCTATCTGTCAGAGTGCTGCACAATGAAATGGTGGTAAACACCTATTGTGGGCATGAGTTTTATTATATCTACACCCTAGTTTAACATGTTATATGGTCCTTGGCTAAGCAGAATTGAGAATAGACACCATCCCATTTACTCAATTTTAGACTAACTGGTGCTACATTTTTTAGGAACATTTTGCTTCCAGATATATGCTATTTCCATCTGTTTTGTAGCCAAGTGTAGTGGAATTGTTATGTTCTCTACACGACACTTGAACCTGTGCCAGTTACAAAAGTGTAGGATGTCATGGTAATCTTGTTCCAGTAGCTTCCTGATATCTAAACTTCTAGGATTTTTTCTTTTGTTTTGTTTTTTAATGTAGTTTCAATTAATTGAATTGATCAATCTTTCCAATCACTAACTTGATATCTAGGAGTAACTTTGCTCCTACCTTTAAAAAGTAAACTTCCAGCTCCGCTAGAAATAAACCCTGCATGCTTATGAAAAACCTTAAGGTGACTAAATGCCTTCTACCTCTTCCTTACTGAAGATTTTACTTTTTCTAAATGTCTTTTGGGGGAAGGGCAGTTTATGATATCAAAGGATGCCTTTGCAAGCAAAGTTTGGATTTCCTTTTTTTTTTTTTTTTTTTTTTTTTTTAGTAGAGTCAAATGTCACCATTGCTATCCCTATTTAAGGCAGTGTCATTTTGGAGTGGCTCATAACTTAAATTGTCTTGCCACATCTTTCAAAGTTTCTTTTCAAAATTAAAAAAAACAAAGCCCCAAAAAGCAATTCTTTTGGAAAATTACAGTGCGTGGTGGAAGAAGGATGGCATTTGGCTACCCTGTTCTTTCTCTAATGCCTCGGTGTTGCCTGTCTGCGCCGGCCATTGTTGCAATGTAAGCAATACTGTTTGATGCACTGCCACCCTCTATTGTTTGTTCAGTGTTTAGAATCTCCAGTGGGGAAGAGGAAAAGAAGCATGACTGTTAGTACTTCTCAGGACCCATCTTTCTCAGGATTAAACCAGGTCTGAAACTGTCTCCTATTCCAACCTCAACCCCAAACTCATGTGCTTTATTTATTTTTTTCTGTTTTGTTTTTGGAGAATGTAGACCTTGCAAAAGCACCTCTTATGTTGGCATTATTCAGACATACTTGGCAAACATATAACATTACTAAAATGTTTCCCTGTGGGGTTTGCTTAAAGTGTGAAGTTCTTTAAACTTGATGTGGAAAGGGTTATGTGTATGTGCTTGACATTTTTTTTTCAAATACAGAAATTGGTTCCAATTTGGTATTTTAAAACTTGTTCTCTCCAAGACAAGCTACTTCAGAGCAGTAACAGTGTAGCAAGGAAGACTTTCTGCATTTGCCTCTAACAGGGTGCATGCTGTTTTATCTGAGCAAATTCAGATATGGGGAAACAAGTTGACCACCTTAGTCTCCTTTTGCAGTTTTTGCTTTAAAAAAAATCTATTTTGGACAAAAGGTAACTCATGACTGACTCGACACTGCTGCTAAAATAAGATTGCCTAAATGCCCCTGTTCCTTAGGTAGATGGATAGGATTATCCATCTCTTAAACATCTTAAATCTAAGATTCCTGCCTCCTAGCAAAGATAATGTGGATTGGAAAAAGGTTAAGCCTTTTGTCTCTTTTTAACAATGCATTTGCAGCTAAATGGAAATTACTAAGCACAAATCATTAACCCATCAGTTCATGTTGGTTGGAGTAGTATTCCATTACTTAAATAACCTGCTGTGGCGATGCTGTCTTTATTCCTGGGATTACAGAACAGTTGGCCATGTTTCTTGACTGGTGACTATTTCTGAAAAGCATTCAGTTGAGGTAGAAACTTGGTTCTTTCCTCCTTGTTTTCCTTGATTTTTGCATCAAGTGAAATTGAGGTCCTGTTGGACTTTTCTCTGATGTTTCTCTTCTATTAGTGATAGCTTATGTCAGGTGTGGTCAGTCTGTTTTGCTCCTTCATCAGTCATGAAGAGAAGAAACGGTTTTATGTGCTGTCTTACTTCAAAGAAAACTAAGCAGAATTCAGCAGCAGCTTCCTTTCAGGTTACTTGATCTGTGTGAAATGGATCAGGAATCTTCAATGTTTAAGAATAGTGCTGCATCATGGGATTGCCGGTCCGTGCACTTTAACTCTGAGCAGAAAAAACCCTTGTCAGTGCTTATGTATCAGGGCAGTGGTATTGAATGTACTGGGAAGTATGGAATGTAGTAATTTTTCAGTTCAGCTTTTTTTGAAGCAAGCTAGGCCTCAGTGTCTCCCTGGAGAACAAAAGCTGCAGGGAGAAACAGGGACTCCCAGTATTGCATCTGTTTGTCACTTCTGTATCTTGCTGTTCCTTTTGATTACTAGCTTGAGCCTTGTCATGAAGCTGCATTTCTTAATACACTTAGATTAGAATTTAGAACCCAAAGATTATAGAAATGCCCAGCCTGTATCAGTGAAGTGTTGTTTGGGGGGCTTTTTTGTTTTACCACTACTTTTGATTTTGTGTAGCTTAAACGTATAGTCAGTAAAACTGCATTTGAGTTACTTGAAGGAGGCAGTGCAGAAGTAGGAGCTCTTATAACAAAGCCTTGAATGGGAGGTTGTCAGCAGCTCACAACTTAAACATAGTATAGAGAATGGGAGGGTTATCCCTTCTGTCCCCCCCAAGGTTAGCTATAACCTAACCTAAATCAAAAGGGCTGTGTAGCATTTGTAGTATGGTACTACACATGACATTTACAGTGTCTATTGTACAACATTAGTATTAAAACTGCTTGCTTCCAGTAGCTGTAGGAACTTTGTTTCTGTTCATTTAGTAAGTCATTACCTTTGTCAGTAGTTCTAGCTCTGTGTGGCAAGGACTAGAGATTCTTTTTAATTTTTTTCCCCCTTGCCATTTTAAGGACTGGCAGTTTTTTGTGTGAATCTGTGTGCGCTTTTAAATCATCTGGTAAAAAAAGAAATAGAAGCATTCTAAATGCTTGAATGTATAGTTGAGGTAAGAAAAGAGAAGGAAGAATGGGATTTCTCACTTTTTAATAAAAGGAAATTCTTTATAGGAACATGGTATTATGATGTCAACTTGTCCCCAAACTCTTCAGTTTGCTAACTTGGAAGGAAATGGAGACAATGTTCAATAGGATTTTTTTTTTGCATAGGCTTTTGCTTTCTGGATGAAAATACAGTTGAATAATCGCCACCAACCAACATTGTAGAAATACCTATCATGGTTTCCATTCCAGCTGTCACATTTAATTGCATCTTACAACCCAGATATGCCAAAGGCAGCCTTCGTTCCTTCCACTTTTGATACGGCTGTATCTATCTCAACTTTTTTTCTTCATATCTGAATGAACTTAAAGACATGCCCCCTGTCTTAGGATCACCTTAAAATAACCTTGCAAATCTTAAGTGAGTTCCTTGAACTAGGTAAACTTTTAAGCCCCCAAAGTAGTGGGACCCTTGCCGCTTTTCAACACTTAGGTCTATAACCCTTTAAGCGCCTTGGACTTTAAGTCTTCACGCACATTGGGGCATTAGTTTAGCTGTGTGGCATGCAGCTTGGAAGACTGAGCTTTAATGTTTCTCTGAACTTGTAGAAGGAATAAAAGAAAACACTGGACAAAAGAAGCAATAGTCCTGATATGCAATGGAAAATGTTCTTTACATACCTCAGTCTCCTGCCTAACCCTGAAACTTTGCCCCAAGAATGTACAGGATTGGCTGTTAGGACACTAACAAAATTTAATAGACTAACCTAAATGTTGTATCGTCATATGGGGGTTTAGTTACCATGAACTTTGTAGAAATCAAGCTCAGTTGGTTTCCTTTTGCTTTTCTACATGAAGTCAGCTGAACTTAAGCTTTCAATGCAAGTACCCATACAGGTACTTAGTCTTCTTGCTTACTTTATCAATAGCTTTAAAATAAATGGTCTTATGGCTGAAAAGCAAGGTATGTCCTGTTGCCCTTTTGTGCTATGCAAAATGACTTCATTGCTGATTAAAGTGCACAAACATCTGTAAATGCATAGAGCTGCACAGCTGCCATTGAGGAAATGCTTAATTATCACTAGCCCACAGCTGCCTGAAGATAAATATTTGTGAAGTATACTTGTATCTGTACTTGCATTTCCCTTCTTAGCCAATTGGAATAATTGTGTTGCAGATTTTGGTTAGTGTTAAAAAGGTTACAGTAGTAAGTAGTGTAGGACTAACTTTTGAGTGCTGCTTGTCACTCATTTTAGTCTTTCCCACCTGACTATAAAGGGTAGGTGGAGGAGCCTTTAATTGACAATTAAGACTTTGGAGCTTGCTTGTTAGAGCAATACATTAGGTTGTAATGTGTTTTGCTTCCTTTAAACCATAGGCTCCGATTTCAACTCCAGATCTAATAAAACAAAAGTATGTAGCTTAACGCTGATTTACTGAGATGGGGTGGGGTTTTCATTTACTTTGACTGGAAACAGTAACCAATTTTTTTCATTTCTTTTTAAGTTATTCCTTATCGACTTTGGTTTGGCCAAAAAGTATCGGGACAACCGGACAAGGCAGCACATACCATACAGAGAAGACAAAAATCTCACTGGCACAGCTCGATATGCCAGTATCAATGCACATCTTGGCATTGAGCAGAGGTGAGTTCAAAATGACTGCTACGCTCCTGAAAGCTGCAAGCTGAGATTCTTTATAAGGTTTTGAAGTTTCCAAACTAGTTTCACTTATCTGGAAGAAAGTGAAACCACAGGTTGAAGAGATGCTTGTTTTTAGCCCTTTGTTTTGAATAAAATTCCTACTTCAGATGGAACAAAGGGATGATAACAAAGAACCCTCACAAACTGTGCATTCTTCATCGTGCTGGCCACATTGGTGCCACTTCAGTCTATTTGGCTCAGTTTTTACAATAATGCCCCAAACCCTAACTGTCTTCAGATGCCCATTTCCTGGTATCTTTACTGTGTCTTTCCCCCAGTCATCCAGTTGCAGGGCGTGGTGCCAGTGTTTGTAGATCAGGTGTAGGATCACAGTGTTCTTTTTCCTCAACTGTATTCTAGTGTTTCATGTATGGCTGTAGTTGCAGCATTGTCCCTATGCCTAGAACGATGAGCTGAGCTGCCTTCCCAAAAGCAAGTATTGACCGAAAAATGGAATTACGTAACTTTTTCGCTCAGCTCCAGTGGTCCAGGAATTGAGCATTCACATTTCTAATTGTTCAGTATTGTGCACTCCAAACCAAACATGAGTTGTTGTATTTCTGTCCCTTTCCCTTACCCACTACTGCTAGATACGTTAACAATCAGATCCTGGAGTATTAGGATCAGTAACATCAAAGTAGTTACAGCTTTTTCTCTGCACTTCTATTCCTGTTATCAGTACTTGAAACTCCAACTACTGATCTCATAAAAAGCAGCATAATTTAACATTGATTGTTCAGTATGTTCAAGCTGCTTTTAATAGAGTTCTAAAATGGTTTATGGGTTTCCTGTACCTGACCTCTTCTTTCTTCCCTCTCTTCCCCCCCCCCTTTAATTTTTTTAGAAATTTAAGCAAGCCAGTTCTTCCCTATACAGTCTACGTATCTTGACATGTGTGTCAAATGGAGAAAGTTGGTGTTGGATTTCTGAAATAAACATGTTTTGAATTGTGTCCCAGATAGTTTTGCCTAAGCTAGGATATGATGGGATAAGCGGAGAGGCTAACTGCACTATTGTCTCAGTTGCTTAAGTTGGGTTGTAGCCTTATCCTTTAACTTGACACTTAAAATCCCAGTTATAATGGTAAAGCATCTTCAGTCTTTAAGACTTAATAAAATGTCTGAGACTAAGCCAACAATGAAGCCATGAAAAGGCCCTCTGTTGTAAATCAAGAAGAGAGGAGGAGGCCTGAAACTTTACTGTGCAGCTCTTCATTAGCTACAGGGCTAAATTGAGACTGTCGCAGGGTTTGGACTTGAGTGTACTGACAGCTGTTACTGAAGTAGCATAAATTCCTTGTATAATAGAAGGTGATATCATCCATCCCTTTCAAGCCAGATACTCTGGGGTCCACTTTCAGGATATGGATTCTAATGACACCTTTATTAGGAAATGTCATTACAAGATTGAATTCCAGGCTTCCTACTAGACAACCGCAGCATAGAAAAATGAAGAGGGGAAATGCAGGCTGCTGCCACTCCATAGTAGTCTTGGGCATCAGCTTATCATGGCTGTGTACCAGGACAGTGCATCTTGCTGATACTCCTAAAAAATTTAATCACAAATGATTCTGAACAAACAGGTCTTGTGCACTGCTGGCTTAATACTGCTATCTTTTTTTTTCCCCTTCATCTTCCCTTTTTTCTTCCACCTCCCCTTACCCTCCTTAGTTTTGCACTACCCTTATATGGCAAGCAATTCAGGACAGCAGACCTGTTTAGGTTCCTTTGGTTCCTACCATCCCAGCTCATGCACATATGACCTCTCATGCAAATTGTCTGCCTGGTAGAGTGCAGCACTTCTGCTGCTTAGCCTGTTTATTTCCTGCACACTTAGCTAGTTGCAAACTACCAGATGAGCAAGATATGTAGAAGGGGGGGTCTTTTTTCTCCCCCCTTTGCAGTTGACAAATTTGAGACGAACAAAAAACAGTATAGTCCAAGGCGTGTTTAAACATGGATTGGCATCAGGGTAAAATATTTTAGACGAAAGGAGATAGACCGCCACAGTTTTTAACTTTGCTGAGATGGTGGGTATTACCTGGAAGGAGAAGTGGTAGCATGGTCATTTTACCACTGTAATAGATTGTATCTGTCCTCAAGTAGTTGTACCAAAATGCTGCAGGGAATTGTAGGATTTGGTATGCGGGTCTGGGTCTGACACATACTCAGAGCAGATAAAACACCTAAAGATTTTAATACAGTAATTTCTAAGTAAGCTCTTAATTCAGTTCACAAATGACAATCTTTGGTATCTTAGCTCCAGACAAAAGTGAGCTGTTTCCTGTGGAGGCAGGAAGGTATTTCTCTCGCCCAAGGAATTCTACTCCCAGATTTCAGGTTCTTGTTGAAAAACATGGAAGCACTGAGTCATATTTAAATATGAGAGAAACTGTTCTGTTGAATTAGTTGTTTGCTCACTACTGCTCCCTCAAGATAAACTGTCACTTTTAATCTGATGATAAAGTGCTGTCAGTCCCTGATAAAAGCAACATTTGATGAAACAATATTAAATAGGTCAAATAGATGAGGAAAACTATACGTTGTTGTAGATCTTAAAAGGCTTGGAAGGAGCAGAAATAATCAAAATTATTCATCTGAGCAGCTCAGTGCAGTTAACAGATCTAGACTTCCTTCATATTTTCACTTTGTCCTTTAGGAGACTTATGAGAGGGGAGAACTTCCTAGATGGATGGATACTGAGCCATAACTATAGCTAATGAGCAGCAGTTACAAGGGGAAACCTTAGGGCACCTATACAAGTGCGGCAAGGCTGCTTGGAGCAGACTTGATTAATAGAGTCTGCTGGAGTGTGGTAATTAGCATGCTCCAGCAGACTCCAGCATCACGTGTTATCAGCATTTCTGTGCTGAAAAATGGTGGCGGGGGTCCTTTAACTAAAGCTCAATTGAACTTTAGTAAAAGTACCCCAGCTGCCATTTTTCAGCATGGGGATGCTGTTACATGCATGTGACACTCCAGGCGCTTTAATTAGAGCGGCTTTCAGAGCTGCTCTAACTAAAGACCCCTCCCCAAGCATGTGTATAAATGCCCTTATTTTTTCAAAGCAAGGAAATTAAAATTGGAGTTTTTTGGCTGTGGTAATTGCTGCATGTGTGCCTGTGGCTTCCTGCCTTCCAAATTTTTCCAGGCTTTCTTGGAAGATAAGTCCTTGAGCAGTGTTTCTTTACATCATGTACTATGGCTCCTTGTGTCATTATGCAAATTGAGATCAGTATGAAAAAACTGAAACTTTTCATACATTTAATTTGTAGTGTTTTGATTAACATTTGAAATGATTAAAAATGTACCTTTTTTCTACAGTCGTCGAGATGATATGGAGTCTTTAGGTTATGTGTTGATGTACTTTAACAGAACCAGCCTGCCATGGCAAGGATTAAAGGTAGGTTGTACTGTTCTACTGTAGATTTTAAAATACCATATTTTCTCGCATACCTCACTGCAAATAACACTTTCTTGTGCACTGTATAAGATGTGTGCCTTGTTTTCTTGGAAGCCATAATAAAGGGGGGGGGGGGGATTTCCAGAACCATGAGTTAGAGTTGGTGTTTTTATGGAGGTGATACTGCAAGATGGGTGCCCAGTTCTTTTCTCAACCAAAAAAATGTTGCCAGCAGCTATGACAGGGTTAACTAACACTGAACTTCATTTCTCTTGCTTGCTGGCGGCCGTCTTGCAGTGTGTCCATGCCTCTCTTCTTTCATACTTCTGTTCCAGCAAAGAAAATCAGCTTCTCCATGTAAGACGTACCCTGGTTTTGGAGAGCTGATATTACTTTTGTGGAGAGAAGTTGTGTGTGTTATGCAGCTAAATACAGTATTTTAGAGCTGGGCTTGATGCTCCTTATTAGTCTGCACAGGCTGTTCTAGGTAATGGAGCCTTAAATGTAACTACAGAAAGGAACTCTTTCTAAGACGCATTGTTTGTAGTATGTGAAAGAATTTTTTTTTTCCTGCTGCTGCACTTTGTAGTAGTCAGAGCATGTATCTCTTGACCTTTTAAATTTCAGTTACCACAGATACACATTTGCACTGCACTACATCCAAAATCGTAAGGGTTAGGTAAAATGTTTTTTGACTGTGTAGACTTCACTAATCTTGTTCCTGTATTTTAATTTTATTTCTCCCCCACATAGGAATTGTGTAACTCATAGTTTTGGAACTACGTTGTCTGTAGGGTTTTGTTTTTTCTTTTAAATGGTTAAACAGCTTGTGAAACATGAGCTCATCTGCTTCAACTTTAATGTAATGGCTGCTTGTTGAACATGCAGCAGTCACATGGGTTACTGAGCAGAAATTAATAGAACTTTGGCAAATGGATATGCAAGTTCAGTATTTTTTTAATGGGCAAAAGGCAGCTAGAACTACATGAGTTCTGCCATGTAAGGGAAGCACTAGACTGCAACAAATGGTGTTAAATTGTGTCCAAATCTTAATACCAGATTGACCTTCATTCCTTTTGCAGTAAGTGTGTGAGGCTTGAAACTTTGCATTAAACACTCTGTCCAAGGACTCTCCCTGTCATTTGGGGCAGGATGGGAACGAAGTGGGGAGGATTATTGGGTTTCTATTTGTTTGCTTGTTTTTTGGTGGTGTCCTGTTAATCCATTGTTGCACAACGTCTCTTATATTGTGCCCCACATGTTCCACAGGCTGCAACAAAGAAGCAAAAGTATGAAAAGATTAGTGAAAAGAAAATGTCCACTCCTGTTGAGGTTTTGTGTAAGGTAAGAAACAAGTGAATGTTGTAAGGCAATGTACCAAGTTTCTTTTGAACTGTTGAAGGACACTGGACAGTCAAAACATCTGACACTGCGTTCTCTGCTTAGTGGCAGCTGTGCTGTATGGCCATGGGGAGCAGCTGGCATTTCAGCAAGACTATGAATATTCATAACAAGGCAGGCATGCTCTGCCCTTGGATATGTGAATAATACACATTTTTCAACTTGATTTTTTTCTGTTGTTTAGCTCTCCAGCTATGCCAAATGTTTCCACAAGCTTACTGGTTTGAGTTTTATCCACGTGCTCCCAGAATGTATTTTGAGATGACACTCTTTAGCTTCATTTCCTCTTTCTTCTCTGTGTACTGAAGACGCATTGATCTGTCTCCGAATAACACTTTGTACTTGTTGAAGCTGCACTCGAGTTGAACCCTCGAGGAACCCCACAGGCTTGTACTGTAGAACCAGTTGCCCAACACTTAAAAGGAGTATCTCAATATTCTTCTTTGGGACTGCAGATGTCAGAGGTGGATCTAATGGGCAAACATATCTGAAAGGGGTTATGGTGGTTAGGCATTATTCAAGAGCACCAGGGATTTACTTTTACGGTTTTGCATATTGTTAAACTCGTACTGTACCATGAATTTATGCCCAGGGCGGGCAATTATTTTGGGCGGAGGGGCACTTACCCAGTTTTGGCAGGCTGTCAAGGTCCACATGGGTAGCCCCACCCCTTGACAGGTGCCCCACCCCCTGGTCACCATCTTGGGACCAGTGACCCAGGGCCAACACTGTTGGGCCCAAAGCAGGGCACAGGCTGGCAAGGGTCTGTGGAGCCAGACTGGGCTGCACCTGCAGGGAGAAGTGGGAGCTGGCCCGGCCCCACAGTGCCTCTGTTGGCCAGGACCCCTGTACTCCTGCTGCCCTGCTCTGGGCCCTGCAGGTGCTGGACCTGGGGGGGCTGGGTGCGTCCTGCTGTTGTGGGAGCCCGCCAGGCTTCCCCTGGGTCCTACTGCCCTTGGTTCCTGTTGGCTTTGACAGGAACCAAGGGCAGAGAAATATTAATTTTCTAAATTTTTTTAGGGGCCCTGCAGGTTAGATCCGGCCCACGGGCCGTATTTTGCCCACCTTTGGTTTATGCATATGCTATTTCTTATGTGAGAAAAGTGTCTTCATGCAGAATTAAATACATAAATTTGTTTTAATGCAAATTCTCGAGTAGTAACAGCATAACGATCTAAGTCCTAAACATGAGGCGATATGTTCTGTTTTTGCTTCTAATACTCCAGCATAAATTGAACACCAAATTTGTAGGAGTTTCTCCAAAAGGAATGTTGTCATTCTTAGTGAAAAGGATAGTTAAGAACTAAGTACAACTGGAATAAAGCACTTGATGTAACAGGCTTTTAATGAGGCGGCATAATTTAGTGTAGCATTTTTCCCCACACTTTTTGAAAGTAGATATTGGATTGAGGACCTATAAATTGAGATGTGGGAAAAATGGGTGTTGGCTATTCAGTTAAGCAGTCTTAGCAAAGTGGGGCAAAAACTGACATCATGATTAGGTAGATGGACAATTTTTTCTGTTCCGATATGGATATCATTCTCGTCTTCCCTCCCCTGCCCCTTCAAAAGTAGACTGTTTTGTGGGGCAGGGGGTTCCCCTGCATCCTGAAGACCTCATTGCAGGTCCTAGTTTGACTAATGTTGTTGCTTTACAGGGTTTTCCTGCAGAATTTGCCATGTACCTGAACTACTGTCGTGGTCTGCGCTTTGAAGAGGCACCAGATTACATGTATCTGAGGCAATTATTCCGTATTCTTTTCAGGTCAGTTTGAAAATTTGTGCAAGTATCTAGCAACTTAATTGTGCTTGCTTGCATCACTAGTAACTTTACGCAGCTTGTTTAGTAAGCTAGCTTGTTGTGTCCAGAGTAGAAGACCCCTGCTAAGTTTACTTCGCATTTTAAATTTTAAGCTCCAATGTGAGAGCTGAGAAGCATGGGAGAACATGAAATGGGTTGTGAAGGAAAATGAACCTTTTTCTGTTCTATCTGTATGACTGCGGTAGTTGCATGTTTTTACATCAGTGACTTTGCGCCTGCATATTAAAAAGCCATGAAATATCTAGAACTGATGTTTCCAACCACCTCTAACAAAACTATTACAAAAGAACTGTGGGGTTGTGAGGAAGAAACATTAGAAGAGGAGGGTTGGGTATTCAAGGGCCCCCCCCAACAATGGGACTGAAAGTAACCCTGCAAGTTCATTTAATTTCAGAAATGGGGGGAGAGTATTTTTTCTAAAAGGTGTTTGTGATAATGAAACATAAGAACACAAACCCAGATTTCTTTGGAAAAAGCTTTTAATTAACAGGAGCGCTAGTATTGACTCTTCATCAGCTGATCGTTTTTGGGTATGTTCCAAAATATCAGACACTGAAGAGTTCTAAATTTGTTGCACTCAGAATCTTTCTCGTACCAGAATAAAAACAAAAGTATTGTGTCTTTGGTGCAGTCAGAAGGAGCAACTGAGCTAGAAGGAAAAGCTTGTACATTTGTGTACACAAGGGAAACAAATATTGCTAAATGGCTTCAGGCTTGTTCCCAGAGCCCTTTTCAGTTTAATACTTGCTGTCTATGTTCTGTAGCTCTGTTTTCTTTAACTAAAACTTGGTATTTAAAGGTAGTTGTCATGCATTTCCCTTCTCTTTTTCTAGGACCTTGAACCACCAATATGACTATACATTTGACTGGACAATGTTAAAGCAGAAAGCAGCACAGCAAGCCGCCTCTTCCAGTGGGCAGGGGCAGCAGGCCCAAACCCCCACAGGCAAGCAAACTGACAAATCCAAGAGTAACATGAAAGGTTAGTAGCCAAGAACCAAGTGACGTTACAGGAAAAAAAATTAAACACTAAATTGGATAATGCCAGTGATTGAAGTGTTAGATCAAGGAGGTGGTTAAAAACATAACATTTGGCTGTTCATTTAAAAAACAAAAAAAAACAGACGTCCTTGGAGAATTTGACTACTAACTTTAAACCAAAATGTCCTTGTTCTTCATATCATTTCTTTTGGGAATGTTGGGTCATTTTAACCACTGCATCTTTTGCTCCCGCATTAACCCCTTTCCAAAACAAGAAACTGACTTGGTGTTGGGAATGTGATAAATGATACAATCCAAAATCCTAGACCTAACACTTTTAAGGAACATGTTTTATGCCCGATATCTGGAGACTTTGGGTTCTGCTCTGTTCCAGCTATTAATAGTGTTGTGGATTTGTCTCTTGCTCTCCATTTAAATGTTGAAAATGGGAAATTGTGAATGATCTGGCTCCTATCACGTGCCATCTTGGTTATGTGAATATCTGGCATTCAGAATTGCTTGGCCCAGAGTCAAAGTAAAGGACCAGGTAGTCTGAAATGTCTGCCAAAATTCACATATCCTCACTAACTGCTGTGGATCTCCAGAAAGTCACAGTTTTCCAAAGTGGCTGGCTGGATGCTTGTGGCTTTCAGATTTTCTTGATAAGGAGTATGCTTTTCCGGTTTATGCTATCAAGGGGAAATGTTAATTTTTACATGTGATTACTAGCCTAATGTTTTTTAAAAAACCTTCAATTTAAAGAAAAGGAATTTTAGTTTAAAATGCTTAAGAAAACTTTAGCTATAAATTATCTGGCTGCTTTAGCAAAGAACCTGTTCCAGTTTTACCTTCACAAAGTGCTATTCTAATGTTAGTGCACTGATGCAGTATAGTTACCATTGTAGCAGCTCCTTGCGCCCAAGCTGATGCTTCAAAATAAAAGGGATGATGTGTGATCTGACTGTGAGTCTACACAAACTAAAATAATCTCAGGTGTTAATTGGTAACGATGCAAGGAAGTATATTGTTAATGTTTCTCTTTGCAGTTCTTCAGTGGCTCTTGGTCCTAATCTGCACGATCCCCTTGTTTGTGGCCCATGCTGAAACTTTCTTCAGGGGAATTTTAAACTTGCTGAGTTTTAGCTTAAAAAAAAGAGAAAAATATGTGGGGAAACAGCACCTTAACTCTGTTTGATTGAGATCATTGACACGCGTGACTATCCTTGGGCAGATGCAACAGAAATATTCTATGATTTGCCTTGCTAAACATTAGAAGTGCTTAGAAGGATTGAAATCTATATTCTTTTATCCTAACCCTAAGTACCAAGTTTTTCCATAATTACCAATATTGGCGTGTCCTTCTGAAATGAGACTTGAGAATTAACATTGCTATTTAAAATCTGAAAGAATTTCATCAGTTTGTCAGAGGTAATTATTGAAATATAACAACCCTTGACTTTCAAACAGTGGAGAGCTTTAACCTGTCAGAGGCTCAGTATCCTAGGTAGATGTTCCAGTTGCTTCTTCACGGACTTTCTAAATGTCTTTGAGGAAATAATGTTGTCTGGCAAACTTTTAGTGTCAGTCTGAAGTAGGAGTTAAACCTTTGCCTCCTTGCCCTCTTAAAAGTAAGGTGTGTCTTTTAAGCTTTGTGTAGACTCGAAAAAGAAGATGGATAGATAACATTAGCTAATGCATGGACTTAATTTTTTAATGCAAGTTAGTACTCAGAGTAAACTAGATTTTTTTTTTTTTTTTTTTTTTGTAAGTCAGAAAACTGTTAGCTAGTCAGGTTCAGTCCTAAGAGCCCTTGCCCTAAGTAGGAGCCCCCAAGTAAAACTATTACTGAAACCACTTATGTTGGCAATTGATCCTTTGTTTGTGAAGGGGTGGCCTTCAAAGCATTTCTGTTGGATCTGCTCCTCTTGTGTAAGAAGAATATGAAGTGGGAGGAGTCTCTCAACTCCTACCCTGCTACATATCTCATAGGAATTCCATGACTCAGGTTTATTATTTTGGACACAAAATGGATGGAGAGACTTGCTCGCACTGAATTACCTCCTATAGAACTTGCTTATTTATATTACTGCCTCTGGCTTCTAGGAGGTGGACAGGGTTATGTACCTCATACCTATGTAAAATATACAGGTGGGATGAGTTTAAGCCCTGAACAGAATATAAAGGCCTCCACATTTCAGTGTGTTGCTCCTCCTGTGATCTTCTATCTGCAACAAATCATTTGATTTTTTTTTTTTTTTTTTTTTTTTTTTCCCCTCACCCCTTCCCCTCCCTTGCCAGGGAAGCCTGGGATAATATCAGAATAGATCCCTGGCTCCTTTGGATTATTCAGACTAGACAGCCTACATGTTTCCCTTGCTTTATGCGGGTTCTGTATGTGCGAATTCACTCTTGTGCGATGACCTTTTTTATACGAAAAATTTGTTATATGCAAGGTAAATTCTCTCATGCGATTGGTGTGGTGAAAAGCCTGCAGTCAGCTGCTTTGTGCGGTGCATTGTGGGAGTGATGTGCACCAAAATAGTCTCCTGTATGGATCTGTGCTCCTCACTCATTATCTGCGACACGTGTTTCTGTAGTTGCCATGCCCATTATGATAGTACGCACAAGTACAGGGCACTATCTGCTGTTGGTGAGTACTAAAATTGTCTTGTAAAAGTGGTAGAAATGGGTCTAGGGGTCAGTACAGTCGAGGTCTTCGAACATACCCCTATTAGTTGTATTTTAAAGTGGTTCCCTTTATGTGAATTCGAGTTATGCGCTGTTTTCCAGGAACACATGTACAGCATAAAGTGAGGGAAACCTGCATTTAGTTTTAGTCTGTTTTAATTTACTAAGTCTACTACCTGCTTTACCTTCTTCCCTCCCTTTTGCAGGACTCTATCTTATGATAGCATTTTGTAACAGGGAGATCAATTTTTCTTCTTGAAGCCATGGAGGATGTTCCTCTTTTCGTGGGAAAGAGCTGTTTATGTTCTTCCTGAGTCCCAAGAAGAAAAATTGGACAACAGTTCAGATGATCCAGTGCATGCATGCATTCCTCCCTGAATCAGAATAGTCCTTTCTCTAGATCCACAAGACTTTCACAGCTCTTGGTCTGCAGGGACATGTTTCCATATTTTGATACATTGCACTTGCAAGGAACACTTTGATTCATAGTAGCAGTATAACATTTCCATGAGGTGTCCCCTTAGACATGTCAGACTCAGTTGTTTATTTATGGGTTTTCTCCTTCCCATGTTGCACTGCTCCCTTAACCCCTTACACACGCACACAAGGCACTGGAGGATACTAGGAGTCCCCTTTCTCTGTCCCTCCCCTCAGTGCACTGCTCCCTCACCGCATCCCCTGGGCAGAAAGTATTTATGGGATAACAGGGTACTAACATTTACACTCTTGAATAAACTTTTGGATAGTGGGAGGAGCGAGGGACCCTTCCTTTGGGCGTTGGTTTTGAGACATGGGTAAGCAGATAAAATTGCTGCTTATAGTAGCTTTCCTAGACTTTACCACTATGTAGTCATCTGCTTTAGTTCAGTTTTGCATTCATGACAAACTAAAGTAAGAGCAGTTCTCAAACAGTAACATTATGTTAGAGTTTTAGGGGGCATATATCATTGTGCAGAGACACTGTCACATTGTTCCAGGTCCACCATTTTTCATATGCAGCCGCTAAAAAAGTAATAGGAATGTGATGATATGCAAAATATACTAAAACCTCAACTTGTTTCTTACAATATAAATAAAAAAATAAGTGCTGAATTCCATGAGTCTATAAAAAGCTGAGCTACAGGTCATGTGCTTTTCTATATGAAAGAAGAATCATGGGGTTGTATCTGAATTTTCAGGTCTAGCTTTATAAATAAAGCACCATAGGTCATGTACTATATTATGGCTTGATGCTGTATAGGACACCTAGGGACTGTGCTGCTCTGTAAAACTGCCAAAGTATGAAGGCATGGGGACCCAGCCTATGATCCCAGGAGACTGTCATCAGAAACATCTACCAAGCCCACCCGAGAGATCCAATCCACCCTCTTTATAGTTTCTCCCTCTGAGCTCTTGCTCAGTTCTTAAGCTTATGAATATTTATTACTCAGTGCTCAGTATCTTCTGTGTAAACACTGCTCTGCCCAAGAACTACCATACTGCAGGCACTGGTTAGTTCTGGCCACTTCAGATAAACTGGCTTGCTCTGTCTCCTGGCGTATGTATATACAGATGCAAGCAGACAGATCCATTAATTTCTCGACCTCCTCCCTTTTTATTGAAACACAGTTATCGAAAGACACGTGAGTTACATAAGTCTTAAGTTGTTGGTTCCTGTGTTTTTTCTGGAGGTAGGTGGAAGACTTATAAAAACAGAAGGAGGTGCAATAGTAGATGCAACAAGAAAGAAGCATCACTGGTGTCAAAGCAGGACACAGTGGGATGAAGCAATTGTATTTTTCAGAGCATCTCCTCTAATGTGACTTAACATCTGAAAATGAGAGAGAACTGCCAGGGCAGTAGGTTGTAAAATAAATCAATAAAAACCCTTTTGGGGGAGAACATTGCACATTTGATTCATTTCTTTAAAGTAAAGAGGTACCAAGATTGGTTGCCAGTGAAATGACTTGAAAAATGTTCATCTGAAGGCTACAACTTTGAAGATTCTGAAGTGGACGTGTCAGACCAACTGGTTAGTGAACTTCATTTTTTTCACTCTTGGTGTAGATTGTTAGTAAATGGTAACTTGGGTAACTAGCATAAGTTTTTGTTTTTTTTATATTTTCATTGCTGACAAATTTCAAAATGATTGTCTTCAAAATATATAAATTGGCATGTTTGAGGGAGTCTCTCTCACTTCCGGGTCAGCTTACATTGAGGAAAAGTCAGCACTCTCAGTGAAGATATTCCTGGTTAAAATTAAGTTTTTAGTGTTTCTGAATTTTAACTTGCTAAACAGCTTTAAGGGAGTAGAAATCTGCATCAAAATAAATC